GAGTTTTGCTCTTGTTGCCCAGGCTGGAGTGCAATGGCGCGATCTTGGCTCACTGCAACCTCCGCCTCCTGGGTGCAAGCAATTTTCCTGCCTCAGCCTCCTGAGTAGCTGGGATTACAGGCGCCTGCCACCACGCCCGGCTAATTTTTTGTATTTTTAGTAGAGATGGGGTTTTGCCATGTTGACCAGGCTAGTGTCGAACTCCTGACCTCAGGTGATCCACTCGCTTCAGCCTCCCAAAGTGCTGGGATTACAGGTGTGAGCCACCATGCCTGGCCAATTTTATCCAGTCATTACCTTCTATTTAGGATTATAATAAAGGAGATTAATTTGCTTGAGTGTTTCTCCCCAAAATTCCAACTTGCCTTTTTTTCTGGAGCAAATATGTTTTGGGATTGATGATGATGAGTTAAAATGGAATCAGCAAGAAAATGTGCCCTTTAATATAAAGGAAACATAGTTGCTTTAGAATAGCATGTCTGAATTATTCACATTTATAGAAGTGAGGAAAGGAACAGAAAAATGTTAAAGGGTATTCACATTCACAGCCATGCTGTGGCCACACTGTCAAAACCTCAGTACCCTTTAAGTTTATCTTGTGGTCTAGAGAGAGGAACCCTACACCTTGAACAAGTTTGGCCATTTAAGGTCTTAAAATTTTCTGATCCTTTAAAGGGAAGTGTATGTGAACCAAATGATCCATTTTATGCTGCTTTTGGATCTCTTTATAGTGGGGATCACAGATTTAGAACAATGAGTTTCAGTTGTAGGACTTTCAAACTGCTCAAAACCAACAGAAACAAGATCACTGAGTAGAATAGATATGTTATTAGTAGAATTGAGAGGCAAAAGTCCTGGGTTCATCTAAGCTCAACAATATATTAACACTGAGTCTTTGGGCAAACCACTTAACCTCTGTTAGCATGTTTTTTTCCATCTGTAGAAAGGGGAGTTGGGGCTTTATTATCCCTAAAGGTTTTCCCAGAGCTAGAATGCTTTTTATAATGGTTATAAAAGTAAGAATGACATATATCCCCTAAGTCTAAAGAAAACTGGGTAAAGGGCTATAAGAGGTTAAAGTTAATAAAATAAAAGACAGTTTTCTTCAGAAAGCTGGGTGGGACACAGAATACTACAAAGCCATATAAAAGAACAAGATCATGTCCTTTGCAGCAACATGGATGGAGCTGGAGGCCGTTATCCTAAGTGAATTAATACAGGAACAGAAAACCAAATACTGTATATTCTCACTTATAAAGTAGGAGCTCAACATTACATACACATGGACACAAAGAAGGGAACAATAGACAATGGAGCCTACTTGAGGGTGGAGAGTGGGAGGAGGGTAAGGACTGAAAAACTACCTATTGGGTACTATACTCATTACTTGTGAAACAAAATTATCTGTACACTAAATCCCATGACATGCAGTTTACCCATGTAACAAACCTGCACATGTACCCCTTGAATGTAAAATAAGGGTTGGAACGTAAAAAAGGTTGGAAAGAAAACATGAAAATAAAGCTGTGTGGAAATAATATCAGTAGTGGGAAAGTATAAATTGGAAAATAAAATTATTGGAATGTCCCCAGATGAGTCTTGGCACACTGGTGGGTCACAAATAGCTTGTAGCTGTGTAGATACTAATTTCTTCTTCAGCCTTTGGTGTGACTCTTCAGTTGCCTGTGGCTGTGAGCAGCCTGGTCCTTTTACCCCCAAAGTACCTGGAAATGTCATTTTCTATGTGTTTCAGTATATGCTATTAATGTATGTTTTCTGTGTGTGCTGTGATGGCAAAATGGTGGTGAAGCACTGAATTAGACTGTTAGGATGTCACATAGCAGTTATTAGCACAAACTTTGAAATCAGACAGGTTCTAATCCTGATTTTACTACTTATCAGTGACTTAGTATATTTAAATCCCTGTAAGCCTGAATTTCCCCCAAGTGTAAATGTTACCCATCTCATAGATCTGTTGTGAGAATTAAATGGAATGCTACATAAAAGGTAAAGAATATAGTCAGTGCTCAGTAAGTGTTAGCCATTACCATTAGTTACAGTGTCAGTAGTAATCAAGAAACACATTGATGTCAGGCCGTGTGGAGTGGCTCACACCTGTAATCCCAGCACTTTGGGAGGCTGAGGTGGGCAGATCACCTGAGGTGGGGAGTTTAAAACTAGTTTGACCAATATGGAGAAACCCCGCCTCTACTAAAAATACAAAATTAGTCGGGGATGGTGGCGTATACCTGTAATCCCAGCTACTGGGGAGGCTGAGGCAGGAGAATTGCTTGAACCTGGGAGGCAGAGCTTGCGGTGAGCCGAGGTCGTGCCATTATACTCCAGCCTGGGCAACAAGAGCAAAATTCCTTCTCAAAAAAAAAGAAAAAGGAAAACAAACACATTGATGTCATGTCGTGTGGAACATCTGTGAGTAGATTGCTGAAGATGAACTATGAATATCAAAGAAGGCACTAATTTAATTTCTCATTATTAGGTGCTAAGGTAGAATAAGGAAGAAGATATTATCTGGGAACCTGTGCTGGTTATCAAATACTTCTGAGCTATGATTAGAGATTGGTAGAATCTAGTACATTGGAAAATTGAGATTGGACTGAGGATCTAAGAAAGGGAAAATAAACATTATAATGATGTTAAAAGTGGGGCTTCTCTATGCACAGAGACCTCTGAGGTCAGAGAATTATCAAATTATGTGTGTGGTCTTAAGTGTTTAGGAGAGGCTTATGAAATGAGGCTATCCCTCTGAAGAAAACTCTCTTTTCTTATTCATACCCTATCATCACTGCTCTACTACTACCTGTACTTCTGGTACTACTACCATTTCTGCTGCCTGCCTTATGTTGGACATGGTTCTAGGCACATAATACACTAAGGATTGCTGCTAATATTTATTTGTTATTTAAATTTTTGAGTCAGGGTCTCACTCTGTCACCCAGGCTGGGGTGCAGGGGCACAATTTTGGCTCAATGCAGTCTCCGCCTCCTGGGCTGAAGTGATCCTCCCACCTCAGCCTCCAGAGTAGCTGGGACTACAAGCCCATGCCACTACACTGGCTGATTTGTTTTATTTGTTGTGGAAACAGAGTTTTGCCGTGTTGTCCAGGCTGGTCTTGAACTCCCAGGCTGAACTGATCTGCCTGCCACGGCCTCCTAAAGTGCCAGGATTACAGGTGTGAGCCACCATACCCAGCCCTGATTGTTGCCAATCTTTAAAACAGTAACTCTCATTATTCCCTGGCGTGTAACTGGCACCACAGAGGCATGTAATTGGCACCACAGAGGAGGTCAAGAATGCAGAAACATAGTTCAGAGGTCTGAAACAAAGAGTTCCTGAACCCAGGAAGACAGAAGGTTTAAAATCTTGTTTAATCAGAGTCATAGCAGTTAATTTCTTTTTTCTAACAGAGGCACACAAAGTGTAGTTTCTAAGCTGAATGATGACAACATTGCAGAATAAAGAAGGTGAGTCAAGAGTGAGGGAGGTTCACTTTGTACATCTCTCTCATTTTTCTCCTTTTGGACATCCTTTCCACCAAAGGCTGGTTCAGGTCCCTATATTCTGTGCCCACTCTGGTCAAATTACTGCTCTGGTCAAACAAAACAAGATGCTTTGAGTGAAATAAATGTGACTTAAAAACAGTCCTGCTCGAGGAACATATGAACTTGGGGAGAGAAAAGGCATTTAAATACCTATTATAAAGTTGAATGTGGTAAATGCCACCAGTTTTGTGCAGAGTATTAAGGAAGCTCAGAAGAAAGATATACCTGGGAGGATCATTATAATTTTTATTGAGGAGGTGGCATAAGAGCTGTGAATAATTTATAGATTTTGACTAATTTTTAAAAAATTGCTCCAATTTTCCATAACATTTTATCTAAAGTAAAAATGAGCAAATTATACAGTTTCACGTTTGGATAATTCAGCTTCCTGCATGTTTATATTTATCACCTTTGACGTAGTGGTTCCCAAACCTGGCAGTGTATCAGAATCAACTAGCCTTGTAAAATTAAAGATTGCTAGGCCTCTCACGTCAAACTACCTTGTCAGCATCTCAGGGCTGGGGAGTGAGAGACCCAGGAATCTGAATTTGTTAAAAGCTCTCTCCATATCATTCTGTAATGGCCAAAGGGCAATGTTTGGCAATCTCTGTTAGACTGTATGTTTCATAAATTCCACGTGATCACATTTCTTTCAGAATGTGGAAAGGGACCAAAGAGAATCTTTGCCCCACCTGCACAAAAATCTTACAGCCTGTTACCTTGTAGTCCTAACTCCCCCAAGGAGGAGACCCTGGGGATCAGTTCCCCAGAGACAGAGGCCAGCATAAGCCTGCCAAAGGCCAGTTTAAAAAAGGAAGAGGAAAAAGCAACCACAAAGAATGGTCCAAGCAGGGGCCAGGAGAAAAAAAGAAAGGCACAAAACAACAAGCAAGCAGAGAAGAAAGAAAAGGTACCAGTCATATTGGTGGGCTCTGGTAGGATATCTCCTCATACCTTGCCCCTGGCTAAGGCTAGACAGACAGTCTTTTCATGTTGGGGAAATTCACCCTAGAGTTTCAGGTTTGTATTCCTTTTTGGGAGCTTCCATTTTTCTTTTTTTTCTCAAAGAGGTCAAAAATGTTTTGATGGAAGAATTGAACAGGAAATAATAGGATGAGGTGGGTTAGAGGTGGGGGTAGAAGTGGACAGAGACATTATACCCTTTTGTCTTTCCTTTGACTCCTTTATTCCCAGGAGATCTGGGATAGAGTTCATGGCCTCCTTAGGTATGCTGACTGCATGCCTTCCATCTTGTAAACTTACTGCCTCATCCATCTAAAGGAGGCTTCCCTGACTGTTCAGGGGGAAAAACTATGGAAAAGTAAGTGGTTTTCCTCCCCTACCCTTGTCTCTGCAGGAAAAATCAAGTCTTACCCGTGCAGAATTTGAGGAGATTGTCCAGATTGTGCTGCAGAAGTCCCTTCAGGAGTGCTTGGGTATGGCATGTAGTAAGAGAAAAAGGGTTTCAGTTAGGCAGAGTGACTATTACCTGAGAGGGACAGTTAAGTCTGACAGCTTCTCTCTTCCTCTCCCATCTTCTAAATAAGGTAATATTAGATAAGACTTCAATATATTTTAAAAATACTTCATCACTTATCAACAGGACTATAGCTAAACTACCTTAAAGGGTACATATTTTTAGAAAAAGTAGATTACATTTACTTCAGAATTTATATATAGTCTTACCTAAATTTTCAAGCCATGGGATTTTTGTTGTTACTTATTTACTTATTATTACTTTTTTTGAGATGGAATCTTGTTCTGTCACCCAGGCTGGAGGGCAGTGATGTGATCTCGGCTCACTGCAGCCTCCGCCTCCCAGGTTCAAGTGATTCTCCTGCCTCAGCCTCCCAAGTAGCTGGGATTACAGGCACCCACCACCACGCCTGGCTAATTTTTGTATTTTTAGTAGAGGCAAGGTTTCACCAGGCTGACCAGGCTGGTCTCGAACTCCTGACCTCAAGTGATCTGCCTGCCTTAGCCTCTCAGTGCTGGGATTACATGTGTAAGCCACTGCACCCAGCCTGTTGTTTTAATTTTTATTTTTTGTAGAGATGAGGTGTTGCTATGTTGCCCAGGCTGGTCTTGAACTCATGGCTGCAAACAATTCTCCCATTTCAGCCTCCCAAAGTGCTGGGATTGTAGATGTGAGCTACAGTGCTTGGCCCTAAATTTTTTAAATGCAGTTAAAATGTATTTCTATGTAATTACAAACTACTTAGAAAAGATAAAGTTGTTTTCCCTAGATTTGAAAAACTTAGGGTACATATCCTTGCAAATTTCAGTTTCTAATACCGATTTTGCATGTGGTTAGGGATTTAGTTTTTAGAATAAAGAACACGGTGAGGGAGGCCAGGTGTGGTGGCTTATGCCTGTAATCCCAGCACTTTGGGAGGCCAAGGCGGATGGATCACTTAGATCAGGAGTTCGAGACCAGCCTGCCCAACATGGTGAAACCCCATCTCTACTAAAAATATAAAAATTAGCCAGGCGTGGTGGCATGTGCCTCTAGTCCCAGTGGAAGTTGCAGTGAGCTGAGATTGCGCCACTTCAGCCTGGG